TGTGCACATGAGACAGGTGTCTGCAAAATTTGTTCCTCGCTTGCTCGGAGATGACCAAAGAGAAAACCGCGTGAATGTTTGCTGCGACTTGAAGAGTGAAGTGCAGTTTTCCCTAACAGAAAGCAAATTTTTACGCACACTCTTTGTTCCTTCTGGTCAGCCATCTCACTAATCGCCAAAGGGTTGAAACAGGAACGCACACAACAGAGCACCACAGACAAACCACTTAACTCAGACTGACGCCAGCTCACTAACAGTCGCGGGAGACCCCCAGCTAACTCCACCTAGCAGCACAACTCGTAACTACAAAGCATGCGCACGCAACAGGTCAGTTCCGGTTATTTTTGGGTCCCCTTTCGTACGCCACACCAGCACACAGTTTTTGACACACAACAAGCTGTTTCTGTGGTCTTGATTTCCTTGCAGTTGGTAGAATCTTGCTTATAAAATTTCTTTCTCTTAGATAGGGGACTGTTTGTCTGACGATTGTCAACCCTGCACTTTGTGTTCTACAGCATTAGCATATTTCACAGAGTCTACCCTCAATTAAGTGAATTCTGATTGACAATTTATCTATTCTCATGAAACTTTGTTCTGATTTGGTTTGAAGTAAATATATCATCCACTGGTCATGACAAAACACAGCTAGCAACTTCACTGCTCACAGCTGGCCTTGGATGCTAAAACCAGACTGCATCATGCATATTTATAGAACAAATTGGAATTGCAGTAGTACCACTCATACAGTGAACTGTTTATCGTTTGCTACATGGTAGTCATAGCATTTTTTAGAATCAACATCACGTCTCAAAGTCGTAGATTCTCCAGGTGTTTTCTTGTGGATTCCAATCTAGAAGTAACACTGGTCAGAATATGCCACAAGAGATTCAGCTTTTCATTCGATCAGCATGCAGGACAGCACATAGTATCAATCTAACATATTTAGTTCATGAGAATTCCCCTAGGGATGAAGATAGATTTGTATGGTATTAAGCACACCAACTGCTGAGGTAGAAAACTTTTTCAAAGAATTAAAATGTAATAAAACTGCTGCAGGAAGTTCAAAGTGGAACAATGAATATACAAAATGATAGCCTGAAATTTCCTCTTTAATTTCATACCAGAAGAATTACTTTACATGAAAAACAACAGTTCAAAATACGAGCTGAAACTTGGCACTGTACTATGCGTGCCAGGTACGGACTTCAGTGACACGCACAAACTATGGCACTGAAGGGTTAAGAAATCTGAAAATCTTGTCAAAAAAAAGTTTATGAAAACTGCTTACTAAATATTTCAAATGATTTCATACACCTAATACATAACTTTAAAAAATATGGAATTAGTATGACTCCATGGTGGTACACAATATTAATACAATCTAGCAAACCTTTAGTAGCAAGTTTTTAAATATCATAAATTTCATGGCATTCAATTAAATACTGCAAATGTTTCTGAGTCTTATGGGTCCAGTTCTTATTTGTGGCTTCTGCTTCACAGTTCTGATTTGCACAGAACAGATATTTGTATCAGTATACTAGAGGTAATATATTTTATATATGACTCAAATTTAAAGGTCTACGGGCTTCCTGCCACTACAAACAACCAAATGCTGGCCCCTTGCAATGCTGTCTTAAAATAACTTAAAAAAATTCTTCCTCTAAATAAGAGTAAAACACAAAAAAAATGAATAAGCACTAGTCTTCCCTTTCAAGCAACACAACTTGACCTGCGTTACATCACAATCTTCTTTTTATTCACACTACATCTCCTTACCCAACTTTTCTCCAGCTACATCATCAAGACAGGTATGCACATCCTTTAATTCCTGATTTTTCTTCTCAATTTCTACTTCATATGCCTCCTTCACACTTTCTTTATCATTCTTCAGCTCCAAACACTTGCACCTCTCTGCAGCCTGTAAGCAAGAAGGTAAGCAAAATAATTACACCACACATTCATTGTAAGTAACTCTGATTACTATGAAAGTTTCACCCTAGGTAAGTTGGTTGTTTTTAACAATAGGGAACACAGTACCTAAAGATTGATCACTCACTCATGGAGCTGAACCCTTCTTGAGAAGCCGCCAATTGTGCAGCTACTCAAGAACTTCCCAGCATTTTATTGAACCCAAAAGTTCATTACCATGTTCACAAGAGTCCTCCACTGGTCCCTATCCTGAGTCAGATCAATTCAGTCCATACCATCCCATCCTATCTCTTTTAGATCCACTTTAATATTATGCACCCAGTAATGTCTTAAGTCTTCCTAGTGGTCTCTTTCCATTTGGCTTTCCCACCAATATTCTATATGAATAGCTCTTCTCCACCATTCATGCTACATGCCCTGCCTATCTCATCCTCCTTGACTTCATCATTCTAATTATACTTGGAGAAGAGTACAAGTTATGAAGCTCCTCATAATGTAGTTTTCTCCAACCTCCCATCACCTCATCCTTCTTTGATCCAAAATTTCTCCTTAGCACCCTGTTCTCAAACACCCTCAGTCTATGCTCTTCCCTTAATATCAGAGATCAAGTTTCACACCCATACAGAATCACATGCAAAATTATAGCTTTGTATATTCTAACTGTTATTAATAAAGCATGAAAAATATTCTGTTATTTTTATACAATGTGAATGTTCCAATAATACTATTTACCGCCAAAATGTACCACATTTTATAAAACTGAACCTATTAGTATTTACAATCTCACCTATATCATATAACTACATTCATAACTGGGGAATAATAAAACATGGAGTTCCACAGGCGTCAATTTTGGGGCCTTTGCTTTTCATAATTTATATAAACGACCTCCCTCCTACACTAAATACCTCATCAATACCTATAATATTTGCAGATGACACTAGTGTTATAGTTTCTGGTAAAAATTTAGATGATTTCTGCATGTTATCAAGCAAGGTTCTTTTGCAAATGAGTAAATGGTTTTCTGCAAACAAGCTGTCACTGAACCTAGAAGAAAACAAATGTAATAAAATTTATAACAAAAAAACTCACCACAATATCCATTAAACATACGATATAATGTTAATATAAAGAAGAAGCAGTAAACACAAAATTCCTTGGCTTGCAAATTGATAATCATTTAAACTGGAAAAACCATATCAATCAGTTGATTCCAAAGTTAAGTAGAGCATGTTATGCAGTTAGATTCATGTTACATACTAGTAACACTGACATTCTCAAATCAGTCTATTTTGCTTATTTTCACTCTTTACTGAAGTATGGAATAATTTTCTGGGGTAATTAATCTGACAGTAAAAAGGTATTTACATTGCAAAAGAAAATTGTTAGAATTGTGATGGGTGTCAAATCCCATAATTCCTGTAGAAATCTATTTAAGAGACTACAGATCTGAATTTTGCCTTATACATACATATACAGGGTGTCCCAGGAGGAATGTGCCAAACTTCGGGAGGGTGTTCCTTATGTTAAAGTATGCCGATATAACCCAAAACACCTATGTCCAAAGTTGAACGGTTACGGAGATAATGGCCCGAGAAGTGTCAAACTTTGACCGGGGTTACACACTTGTTGATTACAAAATACATATTAAAACTGGCAGGAATATGTGGATTCTGTAATGTTAATAATGTAC